CGTAACAAGAGTGACTGAACACAGACAGGCGACCAGGAAAGGTGATGTCAACAATCACGTTGCTGAACATTATCGACTTACGAACCACAATATTGACTGGGACTCTGCGCAATGCCTAACCTACAGCACTGACTACTTTCGACTCCGGAAAGCTGGTTTACTAACTTAGAACAGACTCCCCTAAACAGATGTCAACTACTACCGGCTCCATACAACGACTCATTCACGATATAAACATTACAAACGAACCGAACAGAACGACCTAACTTTACTGACGGATCGAAACAGACCAATCACGAACGACTTACGCCACTTGAGTCTTACAGTCAATAACATCACGGCAAAACTGACCAATGATTTTACACGAACTGAAATAAGAACATTCTACCGCCAACAACTATTCACTTGACTCTGATGTTGACTTCCGCACAGATTGTCGAAAGGTCAGTCACTATCACCGACAACATTCCTTCTCAGGACCACACTCACCCGGACGATCACACTACACTTTCACATGTTACCCCCGGGTTCAAGCCATTTACTGCAGTCTCGTAATTAGTAACAAGAGATTTACGTCGTTAAAATGATGTATGCAGTTGGAGGTAATTCCGGCCAAACTAAAATACCGACATCATCGTCACTACTTTCGATTAGATCGTAAAACGAGTGACAGCCCGCTTAAGAACAAAGCAAAGTAAACTTGTTGGTTGTGATCCCCACTGGTATACAGCAAGGTTTAAAAGGGCGATTTTAATAAAGGCTCACTCTGGTAGAGACTAGAATCGAGACCAATCGCCACCCTTACTGATTAAGATGATCTGCTAAGAGCTTGCTCAATAATATCGTAGCGATAAAAGATCATAGACATTCCAAGCTACTGCCTCCGAGACCGAGTCACTGTTGACAACTATGTAACACGAGAGTCGTCGACACCCCAGATGAGAGACTGGCTGTTTTAAGGACTCCTTTATTATTTGCCGTAATTTGAGATACAGCATGAGAATAGTTTTAAATACATATAAGTATAGTTTCATTGTATCCGTATCGCATTCTGTTCTTTGGATGAATTTTTTCGCCCGTAACTAGGTTAGTTACAGACCACCCGATGTTAAAAAGAAAGACGGGAGCGCTAATAAAGGCAAACGAGTTGAGTGACTTTAAAACAGTCTTTGTCTCCTCCTAACTTACATATTGTCCTTCGCCACACGAGGCCCTTTTATTTAGTACGACCAGCTATGAAGTATCTGTGGTACGGTGATTAGCTCACCTTAGGACAATAATTCACACAGGCCCAGGCTTTGCTTTCATGTTTAGTTTGACAGATTGAGATTCTTTAACTTTTGATACTGTTCCTTTCCCAAACGAAATGCGACTGTGATAACAAAAAGGAGTTAGAAATTTGGATTGAGGTCCTTGAAGTGATTTTAAAACATTTAACACCATGAATGTAGTCGAGCTAGCCTGGGAACGAGGAATTTACTTGGTTGCGTGAGATAGGAGCTTGTTATCTTGTACGTTCAGCGGTTACATTTTAAATAGCTGATTAGGACTAACTAGTTGTCACACCTTTACACCGTGAGCTCGTTTAAGTTTTACTGTATCGACCTGCGTTGCAAACTTGAGACGGGCATAACGTTTAACGATGGCAGCTGAAGAAAACTGGCCGACGAAACTATCATCTATTGCAGAGAGAACCAAATTTATCTTCAACAGTGAGTTGTTAAGCGATNGTCCTGTTAACCCGAAGGAGCCTTTATCCGTAGACACGTTGCAGGCAATTGCCGAATGTTATGTTGCGAGTAATTCTCTTGCCACTCTTCGTTTTTTGTTCATATTGTTAGTTGGTTTCTATGGGTTTTTTCGTATTGATGAAATTAACAGTTTTTGCCTTAAGGATGTGACCATTAATGCTGACCATATGTCTATTTATGTCTCCAAGCGAAAAAATGACCAGTATCGGGAGGGTCACACCTCTTATCTTGCCAGGTCTGGGAAATCTACGTGCCCAGTTTCCATTACTGAACGAATTATTCAGGTTTTGTCGCAGTCTAATTCATCGCTTCCGCTTGTTCGTCGTATTGTGAAGTCCAAATCTGGCGAGTATTTCCACGCTAGCAAGGGCGTGTCTAATTCTACTCTTAGAGAGGAATTCAAGAAGTACATCCGGCCCTTTGTTGACGACGTTTCAAAGTACGGCACGCATAGTATGAGGTCTGGTGCAGCGTCGAACGCCGCTTGTAGGCGCATACCGGGCGATTTATTGGATATGCATGCTGGGTGGAGGTGTCCTTCCTCGAAGAACAGATACATTAAACATACAATTAAAGATCGTTTAAGCGTTTCAAAATCGCTTTTGCTCTGAGGGTATACTTTACGCTAGTTTACAGTTTATTCTTGTCATTAGTTTGCGATTATTTTGTGCTTTTTTGCTAGTTTATAACTATTGTAGTTCTAGTTTACTATTTACTGCAATCAATTTATTTATCGTATTTATTATGTCCATCTATTTCCTGTTGCCTAGAAGTCCTGGCGGGGGACGTAAGTGATGCCTGGCCCGTCCCAGATTTCCTGTCCTGTGTTTTCCCTACAGGGTTTTTTGAGGCAGGTTTTTTCTGGCCCCACTGGCTCGCTTACTTGCAGTTGACAGATCCGGTTACGATTATAATCATATATCTCAATTGTAGTTCAATAAACTGATTGATGGCGTTGCTCGCAGCCCACAATCCAATGTTCTCCATGATTTGTTGTGTCTTGTTTTCATTTGGTTTTATTCGCTTAAGTTAGTGCAGAAGCCGTATTTGGGCGTGTTAGTTGAGTACTGAGATAGCGAGTTTACAGTACTTGGTTCGATAAGCGGTTTTTGCACTTTCAACTTGTTATCTAGCGATGTATGAAAATAAGTATGTGTGGTGTAAGTGATACTCTCAACCAAAGAAAACAGAAGCTGATGTCCTTTTGTTTCAATTCAACCTCAACTGGAAGAATCTTAATTCCTCCCAAAACAGAACTTGCAGTCTCGTAAATAGTAACACGAGATATACAAAAGATGACGTCATTAAAATGATGAAAGCAGTCGGAGGTAGTTTTAGCGAAACTAAAAACACCAACATAAAGAGAAAAGAATCGTAGACACTACTCCCGATTCGTTCGTAGAACGAGTCACGGCTCGCTTTGGAACAATGCAAAGTTAACTTGTTCAGTAATTGTGATCTGGCCACTGGTATACAGCAAGGTTTAAGAGGAGGATTTTAATAATGGTTCACTCTGGTAGAGGCCAGAATCGAGACCAATCGCCATCCTTACTGATTGAAATGATCTGGTAAGAGCTTATTCCATAATATCGCAGCGATAAAAGAACATAAACTTTCCAAGCTACCAACTCCGTGATCTAGTTATTGTTGACATCTATGATACAGGCGAGTCTTTCAAACCTTAGACTGAGAGACTCACTGTTTTAATAATAATAATAATAATAATAATAATTATTATTATTATTATTATTATTATTATTATTATTATACAGGCGAGTCTTTCAAACCTTAGACTGAGAGACTCACTGTTTTAAGGACTCCTTCGATTATTTTTTGCTATACTATTTGAGATACAGCATAAGAGTTTTTTTTCAAACACTTAGGTGCATAAGTCCTTTCTATCCTTCGTGTCGCATTCTTTTTTTTTGATGAATCTTTCGCCCCTGACTCAATCACTTACAGACTTGCTGATGTTAAAAAGAAAGATGGGAGCGGTAATAAAAGCAAACGAGTTGTGACTTTGAAACAGTCTTGGCCTCCCCCTAGCTTACAAATTGTCTTTCGCCACACAAGGCCCATTTATTGGGCCGGTGCCTTGCCATGAATATCTGTGGTAAGGTGATGGACACGCTATATGACAATAATTCACAAAGGCTTTGCTATTTAGTTTGACAAATTGAGACTCTTTTACTTTTAATACTATTTCTCTCTCTCAGAAGAAATGTGACAATGATTACAAAAAGGAGTTAGAGTGAGGTCCTTAAAGTGATTCTAAATCGTTTACACAGTGAATGCACTCGAGCTAGCCTGGAAACGAGGAATTTACTCGAATGCGCGAGTTAGGAGCCTAATATCATGCAAGTTCAGCGGTCACATTTTAAACAGGTTGAGGGAGTAGTATTGACTGACTGTGGGCGCTTTCCATTCGACCAAAAACTCCGTAAATTCTGGGTGGGAGAGTGAATGGAACAGACAATTCCCGGAATTTCATTCCGGATTTTTAGGTGTACCTTGCGAGGTTGGCCTAAAATTCCGGAAAATCGGAATAACCGGAAAATTCCTTTCCATTCGAACATTCCTGTCGCAAATTTATCTTCTACTTGTTTTGTTCTGTGACTGACCAAAGAAACTCACCATTAGGCCATCGGATGAATTGGCCTGAAAGATGAATTGCCGCTTGTGATACGGCGTTTCAGAACGCGGTTCACGCAACTCACTGTAATGTCGAACCTGTCTACGACTGCTCGAGCAGGCTCTTGGTTACCCATACTCCAAAGGAAAGCTAAAACTTGCTTTGAGGATGGGATGGCAGCTCGCCCAGATCCATTTCCAAGTGGTATCATTCCTGTGGATATTACAGCGCGAGTGAACAGCTCGCAAGTTTGTCTCGTCATTCTAAAGTGGCTCTTGAACTCATCAGGAAAATAAAGCGGTATCGTGCCCTCAAAAAAGTCGCAGACTCGATTTAAATTCCTACGCATGTAACAGCTTGCTACACTGAACAACGTTATATCGTCGTCCTCGCCCAATACATCGCTTGATTCAACTTCAGAGTCGTCAAGCAACTCCAAAGCAAGTAAAAGAGACAAAGAGTCCACCATATTTTTTTCCCCTTTGTTTATTTCGCATTTTCGCGCGAAACTTGAAACATGTTGGCCTGGAACGACTTGGTCCAACCAACCGGAAAATACTGTTCCATTCGTCACATGAAATACCTGGAATTTCAAACCGGAATTTTTGGTCGAATGGAAAGCGCCCTGTTACTCCTTTACCCCGTGAGCCCCTCGAAGTTTCACTGTATCGACCTGTGAAGCAAACCCGAAGCGGGCAGAACGTTTAACGATGGCAGCTGAAGAAAACTGGCAGACGAAACTATCATCTATTGCAAAGAGAACCAAGTTAATTTTCAACAACGAGTTACTAAGCGATGTGAAGTTTATTGTAGCTGTGTCGACCGATGAAAGTGAAAGTAAAAAGGTGATCCCTGCTCACAAGTTTGAGCTCGATCTGAGTAGTCATGTGTTCTTTGCCATGTTCTATGGTCAAATAGCGGAGACTAAAAACTCTATTGAACTGCCTGACTGTGAATACGAGGGTCTATTGGAGTTACTCCGCTTCTTGTACAGCGACGAAGTGAATCTCAACGGAAGTAATGTGATGCAACTGTTGTACTTGGCGAACAAATACATGGTGCCTTCGGTCGCTGAGAAATGTAGAGAATATCTACGAGATAATTTCACAGCCTCGAACGTGTTTATCATCAGTCTACCACACGCTCAGAAATATGATAAAGATTTGGAAGGTCGGTGCTGGGAACTGATTGAGAAACAGACAGAAAAAGTTGTGACATCACATGAATTTGATACAGTTGACAGATCTCTTGTCGAATCTCTCCTGAAGAAGGAAATGATGAATGCAACAGAAGTGGAACTTTTCAAAGCTGTGGATTGCTGAGCCACCAAAGAAAGTGAAAGGCAAGGGTTGACTCCCGATGAAGAGACAAAGAGGCGAATTCTTGGAGAGGATGTTGTGAAAGCAATAATGTTTCCATTGATGTCAGTCAAAGAGTTTTCATCATTTGTGCTTGATTCAAATATTCTTACTCCTCTAGAGGTAGCAGTCATGATGAAACACTACACTGGCATTTTACACGAGACGGCATGTTTGCCATTTTCGCAAGCACTACGAAGGATTGAACCAAAGCATTTACATCGATGTTACCGCTTTTCCAAGATCTTCGCGGATGGTACGAGGCGTTCTTGGTGGCGTTATACCAGTGGTAAACCTGATCGGGTAAAGTTTAGTGTAAACAATTGTGCCGAACTGTACGGCGTTCAACATTTTGGCTCTCTACGTGGTCAGTATTCAGTATCTATTGTAGTTAAAGATACAACTTGCAACTCTTCCGATGTGGAAAAATCAGGAACATACACTTCGAAATGGGATGATACTAAAAACTTTTGTGGCTTCGATGTATTGTTTGATCATCCAGTTCGTCTAGAGGCATATAAAGAGTACGAGTTAGTGTCGTTCATTAAGGGTCCTTTGTCATGGTACGGAGGAGAAGGAAAATATGACCGTTGGATCTGGAGGAATGCGATTCACTTTTACTTCTCCAAGAGAAACAATTAGCAATGGCACCTCCGTCAGCCAGGGCCAGTTGCCAGCTTTAATCTTCAACTGAACGACATTTATTAACAGTAAGGAACAGTTCATTGGTAGGACTAATTATCTTTTCCTTATAGAATTTTTCCTTGTCACAAAGATTTCAACAAAGATCACCAACTCCATCTCTTAAAACTGCACGATCAGTGTACCGGTGTTTTTTTTCTCAGTTGAAATTGCGATGAGAAGTCGTGTAATTTACGCCTATAGATGGTATGATTTTAGCTCGGTAGTCAATAACCTGTAAATTCTAAGTCCGCCAGTGTAAGTCCCTCCAGGAGTGCATTCGCTTTTACTTTTGGAGGTGTTATTCTCAATCGTAACTCTGTCAGGCAGGGCCAAATTCCGGCTTTTAGTTTCAGCTAACTTTAATTTACAATCAGATCTGTAAACGACTTGGCTTTTACAGGAGGCAAGTTCTATAAGTGTTATGCCTTCATTGTGTGACACAAACAACTTGTTGTTGTTCACACAAAGACTGACAACAGAATCCCAATCGTCCCCATAGCCAATGATGCGTTGGACATATATCGCACATACCCCATATCCGTCATACTTGAGCTGTGCACTATGTATTTTCTTGGAATGTGAGTCTGCTAGGAACACAAGCTCTCTATCAACTAACGTAATCGCCTGAATGTGCGCTTCGATAGCCTTGTCCATGAAGTTTACTCGGCGTTTGTCATGTCCAAGTGATGCATATTCTGCCTCGTTCCTCTTAAGAAATTTCCCTGCTTCTTTGCGCACCTCCGCCAGTGTTCCAGTAAATGGCAAACCAAAGTGTTCTTTCAGAGTCCATAAGCATTTAACTGATCGATGTTATCTTGCTTGAATTCAGGTACACATGGTTGTCCTCAAGTTCGACGATTAAGACACGACCATCCGACAAGTTCAGAAACGCGACGTTATACCCTCGCAGTGTATTTGAGTTGAAGCAAGATTCTTCTCGATAATAGATATTTTGTCGACAGGACTATGTAAACGGGTGCGATAAAGAGTGTAAGAAGCCAATTTTCTGTCCCACGAAAGAAACAGAAGCCATCCAAAGTTTGCAATGGAGACACTAATAGGAGACGGATACATGCCCAGGCGATTGATGTGGGTGACTTTATCAAGCTCTGGAATTAGAGTGTGGCAGACATAACCATCGCTTGACAGGAAAGAAGTTAATCCATCACTGCGGTCCTTATTCTTTACATGGTCATTCCGTGGAATAAGCTTTCTCACTTTAGACATAGTATCGAAAGTAGAGCGGTTACGTAGAGTGTGAAGCAAACCAATGTTGCTACGCTCATTGTTCAGCTTGAGCCACCAGTTGTTGAATTCAGTAGCTCAGTTGCTCGCTATGTTTTTTTGGACCGTGCGACGAAGATTTGCTTGAGATGAAAAGTTTCAGTCTCAGCACACAATGTAAGAGAAATCGATCAGATTGTCCGCGAAAATCTTACCGGAAAATATAGTGAATACTTTCGCAGGTATCA